ATACCTATTAAAAAATTTTTTCAAACAAGTTTTTTAAAACTGCCTATTTGCTTGAATTCAGGCATCTTTTCTTTTTGTGTAACCGCTGGCCCATAGACTGCTGTTGAGGGAAGGGAGTCAGAACGTACACTACGTTGCAGTGGATGCTGGAGACTGTAGTGCATCTCAATGGGAAATGGGCTAATAGGAATAGAAAACTAAAATAATTTCATTTACATGTCTCAGTCTTAAAGAGACAGTGACAAAAGCTGCCTATTTAATTCTTAGGGGTAAAACAAGGTTGAAAAGTGGTCACACGAAAATGAATTAAGAGTTAGGACTGACCTAAAGACTTAAAATGAATTAAGACATTCTTTAAATAAACCTACACAAACGTCACAAGTGAATGTCGGGGAAAGAATGATAAAAAAGAAGGATATGGGCCTTTTAAGCATGAAGAAGTGATCGAGAGAACTCCAGCAAAGCGTAGAGACTGGGGTGCATGGCAAGACACTGACAAGACGCTTAGAGGGCAGTTTTTAAAAGTCACTAAGACGTAAGAGCAGAGCAGTTTGATGTGAACTGCCCTTTCCTAGAGAAACTTACAGAGCCAGAATTGTTCACACTGGTGGTAATAGGAACCAGACGTCTGAAGATTTTAATGCCTCTAAAAGCTCCCTCACAGTAAGTTATTACACAAAACGGCTATGATGTCGAACACTCTATTTTTTTTATTGTTTTGAGAAGATTTTGGCCTAAAACGTATTTTTAAAAGACATTCATGGTGGAGAGGAAAGTCTGGGCCTTTGTGGGCAAAAGAGAAACAAAAGAAAATAATTTTTTCAGATTTATTAGTATTTTACCATCATCAACATTACATATAAAAGCTCATAAGACACATGTAGGTTCACTGGTGGTTTGGATAGTAAATAAAATGGCTATATTTGTGTTGTAGTCATGGTGACCCCTGATTCCTATCACCACCACTGTAGAGAAATCTGAGTCTCCACAATCAACCATTTCACACCAAACCACTCTGAATGGCTGTTTACATCACAACCACTGAATTAAAACCTACCTTCTTAAACCGCAGGCTTATTTTTCAGTTATTAATCTTACTATCCAGTAATTACTATAAATTATTTGGTAACTACTGTGAAACTAATGTGTAAGGTATGTAGTTTTTAGAGTGAGGAATTGAAGTGTGGGCCCACATACAGGACTTCAACATTTGAAGGGTTAACTGACTCCTGTAAGTGAAGTTAAAAAACATTACAGTATATGACACTGTAGGTTGATTGTGATGCCATCAAGAAATAAAAAAACATAAAAACCGATAACGCATCACTGTTGTCGGAGGAAAACCTCATATCTCCAAAATTAAAACTTTACAGGAGAAGGAAAAAACCTACTTTACTTTTAATGTAAGTCAATGGAACCAGACTTTTTTTCAAGTCATTTTAGGTCATTTCTTTTTGTCCGTTCATCATGACATTTACAAACAATGTAAAAGGTACCAAGCATTTTCAAATTATGACAAGAACTGAAAAACATGGAGATACAAGGTTTTCTTCTGACAACAGCGATATGATCATATTAAATGCCTACTAAGACCTGAGAGATCATCTTTGTTAGTATGCAATGAATGCAAAACCCTTGAACCACTTCAACAGCACATCAGGGCCAAAGCATCCAAAAGAACTCAACACAATCAAGCCCACCATCACATTCACTTATTTAGCCACATGACGAGTCCATGTCTGCTGTATGAGAATGGCTGTTTTCTTTCTGTACTGCTCCTCATCGACAAGCCAGACAAATATGGCTAACGTCACTCGTCACTCTAAAGCAGGGGTGTCAAACTCAACAACCAAAAGGGCCATATTAAAAAATCTGAGCTAATCTGTGGGCCAGCTGTGTTTTTATTTCATATTTACTTAACGTTTTGACCCAAACGGGCCATCGTTTATTTAAAATATGCCAAAACTACAAAGAAATTTTAGGCAGTTTTTAAAACCGCCTATTTGTTTGAACTAGACTTCAGGCATCTTTTCTTTTTGTGTAACCGCTGACCCACAGATTGCTGTTGGGCAAAGGGGTCAGAACGCACACTACGTTGCAGTGCATGCTGGAGACTGTAGTACATCTCAGGGTGAAACAGGCTAATAAGAATAGAAAACTAAAATAATTTTGTTTACCATCATCAACATTACATATAAAAGCTCATAAGACTCGTGTAGGTCCACTGGTGGTTTGGATAGTAAATAAAATGTCTATATTTGTGTTGTAGTCATGGTGACCCCAGGTTCCTATCATCACCACTGTAAAGAAATCTGAGTCTCCACAATCAACCATTTCACACCAAACCACTCTGAATGACTGTTTATATCACTACCACTGAATTAAAACCTACCTTCTTAAACCGCAGGTTTATTTTTCAGTTATTAATCTTACTATTCAGTAATTACTACAAATTATTTGGTAACTACTATGAAACTAATGTGTAAGGTATGTAGTTTTTAGAGTGAGGAATTGAAGTGTGGGTCCACATACAGGACTTTTAAAGGGCTAACTGACTCCTGTAAGTGAAGTTAAAAAACATAACAGTATATAACACTGTATTATCATAGTGCATCTCAGGCTGACATGAGCCAGTAAGAATAAAAAACTAAAATAATTTCCTGGGCCGAAAAGGATCGTGTCACGGGCCTGACTTGGCCCGCAGGCCTTGTGTTTGACACACAGGCTCTAAAGGACAGAGTTCTTATGTCACCACATTCCCTCAGAGCAGCAAATCCTGTCCGAGAGCCTGGCACGTGTGCGAAAATAGTAAAAGCTGTACTTATTCATGTGTACATAAAGACGCAAGGCAGCGGCAAAAACCAAGTGAAGCAGAAATGCTATCATGTCTTTTGTGCTTTCGTCTTTTCTTGGAAATTATTTAAAGAGCTCACATCATGGAAAACCGATTTTTCCTCACTTTTCTAACACAGTAGTTTGACTCAGTATGTAAATATTGTTAAAAATTTCGAAATGTCCAAAAACAGCCTGTTTTGAATATGCATTGTATTTGTGATGCCACAAAACCCAGCTCGTTTACATGTATCCGCCTGTTGAACCTACAGCAGTTTAGCTCCGTCCGATTATACAGAAAGTATAAGGATGTTTTAGCCAGGACTGCTTTCTGAATGCAGTGCAGTTCAGGGCAGCCAATCAGAACAGAGGTCATTTTGTATTTTCGTATCAGTCTTAAAAGCAAAGTAACAAAAAATGTTAAATTATAAGAGACTTTATGAAATAGGAAAATGAATTATGACTGATTTTGGGTGCATAAACCCACAAGTGTCATAAGTGGACCTCAAAAAAATGTAGCACAAGGGCTTTTTGTTTATTTTTGACTGCATCTGGCCTTTCATTGGCTTAAGCGCTGCTCAGGTCATCCGAGTCCAGGAAAACATGAGAGAAGCTGCCACTGTATTCGACCGTCTCCTTGGCAGAGCGAGTTAGCTTCACATGCACCATATCCTTATGCAATATTACATGCAGTTAGCTGTCCATACATAATACATCACTTTGCAAACCAAAGGCTACACAGCCAAAACACTACACTTCCAAAACTGTGGCTTCTAGAGTGTGTTTGAATGGTTCTGTAAGACATAAGGTAACATCTATTTAACTAGGCATTGTTATATGTACAAAAGTGTCCACACAGCCCATCTAATGAGTGAATTCAGCCACTTTAAGGTGCACGCATTGCTGAAACAGGCATTCAGTTGTGCACACACAGCTATAATCCACACCGACCAAGAGAATGGGATGCTCTGGAGCAGCCACATATGAGCGTAAGGTCACCATGTCCAATACCAAGCATGGGCTAGAGGGGTATAAAGCCCCCAGCACTGGGCTGTGGAGCAGTGGAACTGTGTTCCCTGGAGTGATAGGGCTCCAATACCTTTGGGATGAATTGGAGTGATCCAAAACTCAGTACCCGACCTCACTAATGCTCAATCAAATCCTCACAGCAATGTTCCAACATCTAGTGTAAAGCCTTCCCAGAAGAGTAGAGGCTGTTACTGCAGCAAAGGGGGACAAACTCCCTACAAAAGGGGAATTCTGTTGATTTTTTGGAAAAAAATCATCATAATATAATCACTGAGATCAAAGTCATTCAGGGTGATTTGATGTGAAACAGAAAAATTGCTGACTCCGATTTCTTTGCTGCGGTGGTGAAACGGAACCAGGTGTTGAGATGTCTACAACACAAATACAGGCATTTTATTTACTACCCAAAAAGAGCAGTGAATCCACACGTATCTATTGAGTTTCTTTGAGTATAATGTTGGTAATAGCTAAACAAAATAAAATAAAATTTTAATTCAATCTTGAATTTCTTTTTAAGGGACTATTTTTTACCTTATATCACCCTGCGTGTATCCTTCCGCCATGAAGGGATTTTTAAAAAATTCTCAGAAAATAAAATCTTAGGCCAAAACCTCAAAACTTAAACCAATTTCTCAAACATCTGACAACATTTTTGGGACAATTTCCTTAATAACCTCCTATACGGGTGGATTTAGAGGCTTTGGACGTTTGGTTCCTATCACCACAGTGAAGAATTCTGGCATAATTCACATCAAACCATCCCAAATCATTTGGTTCACATTAAAGATTGGATGATGCAGTTTTGTTTGTTTTTAAATGGGCAGAATTCACCTTTACCCTCCCTAATTTCATAAGAAACGTTGGATGAGCAGGTGCAGACCTTTGGACACTAATTAGAAAACAACAGGGTTTTCCCAGTGTCCTGCTAACAGACCCATTGTGAGGTGGGGGGAGGCAGGTGGGTCCTACGGCTCGAAATGCCAAACCACAACCTATCTGGACCACACTTCTCTCCATAAGGCGGTCTTCGGTCAGAGGCCTAAGGCTGGGGAGCGACTGGTTTAGTCTCTCCGCCAAACGCAGACAGGCGTTATCTTTAGCACAAACCTCCAACACCACCGTGTCGTAGCGGTACATACCCCATTTTGGCTGGCTTATCGAGCAGTTCGTGGAAGCTGGGGGTCGTCGGCCGCCTTCCTGCCCCTCCAAAACAGCGGTGGTTCCGGTGCTGGAGTCCCTCCGCCTCAGTCCGACATGGCTTGCCGTTAAACGCGAGTGTTTATATGGAGGCTTGTGTCTTCAGAGCGACGTGTGGGCGCAGGATGGCCAAAGCAGATGCGCATGAAAGTTTCATTTTCCCCTCGTTGGAGAAATGTGGGCGCACAAATCACAGCTCAGAGCTGCGCGGACAGCACGGACAGCTCGTGCCCGTCCAGCGGCGGAGTGGCTGCTGCCCTTCCTCCCCCCCCCACCCTCTTTCTCTGATCTCCTCAGATGTCCACCGCGCTGGAACAGACATGCAGGACATGCAGGGTGGCGGTGCTCACTGACCAGCGGCGGTCCGTGCTCTGTCCTCTGCCGCTATTCACTCTGACACCACACCTCTCGCGAGCGGTGGGCCCGGCTGCGCGCGCTTATTCCTGGGCAGAGAAGTGATAGCGATACGGCGCGCGCTCATTCCACCATCATTTCACTTTGTATCATCATTTGTTCTCGTTGTGGTTATTAATGGAGGGTCTGCTGCTCTCGACGCGCCATCAGCGCCTACCAGCGCGCATCCTCACCGGACGAGGCGCAAAAGACGGCGGATGCTGGTTTATTATCTCCCCATAAAAACCAGCTCATTTCTCGCTGTCTCGTCCTTCCTTCAGCAGAGAGGAGCAGCGAGCATCGCCCCTGTCTGATACGGGAAGATAGACAGACAGACAGATAGATAACTAGGCCAGCCTGGGAGCCTCGTTTAATGTTATTTTCCTCTGTTCGTGGACCTGATATCCTTCCACGTCCTTCCCCGCAAGAATCCTCTTCTTTTTGCACCCGCTCTCCTCCCATTCATCTCCTCTCCATCCCCCCCCACCACCACCATCTCCCCGCCTTTCGCTGCTCGCTCGCCCACAGTATTAAACCGCTCGACGTCATCACGCCACCCCCCTCCCCCCACCACTGCCGCGCACGACGTCACCCCGCACTTTTGAAACCCTGACGTCATGGGCAATCAAAGTCTAACATCATTTCCGGCGGTTTGGTGACGTGGCACCCTATTAAAAAACATTTTTATTTAATGCCACCAGCCTTAAAATGCACCTTTCAGGTTGGAGATTTTCACCCAGGACCTTCTTTTCCCATGTCCATGTCCATGTTTGAGGTAGCAAGCATTTCCGAGACGTCCAAGCGAAAGAACGAAATGACAGAGACTGAAAAACTGAGAGAAACAAAGAGACGTACTTTCAAATCTAAACAAGAAGACCAACAAACGCACATACAATGCACGGCAAAGGCGAGGCAGGCCAAGAGAGGGGCCGAAATACACGGGACACAGCAAGATGCATCTGGGGCTAATGATTACAAGGCAGGGTTATAGATACCACACGGGTGAGGGGAGTAACTAAAGGGCGGAGCCAGGGAGGAGCAGGAAAACAAAAACAGAAGCACATGGTTTGACGCAAGAGGCAAGATAAACAAAGGCCGACACGGACAGAAACAGAGCAAGGACGTTACAACTGCATGTGTTTATCCTCCTGGGTCGCAGGGGGTGCTGAAGCCTATCTCAGTGCTCATTGGGCGGAAGGCAGGAAATACCCTGGACAGGTCACCAGTCCATCAGAGGACGGGCACACAGGCATACACATTCACACACCCTAGGGCCAGTTTAGCATTTCCAGTTTGCCTAACTGCATGTCTTTGGACTGTGGGAGGAAACCTATGCAGGAAACACACAAACGACCCCAGTCACCCGGCCGGGGAATCAAACCCAGGCCCTTCTTGCTATGAGGCAACAGCACCACCCACTGCACCCCCTTGCCATGTATTTAAAGTAAAAAAATAAAAAATCAAGAATAGGTGACTGTGCTGTCTGCGCTCAGAGCCCACAGCATTTGACGGCCGTGCCGAAGGAGCCTGAAAATGTATGAGGCATAATTATATAGTCGTACGCAGAAGTTTGAACACCTACAGTCGAATTACATGTTTAGTTGATTTCCTCAGTGAAAGTAAGTTAATGCATCCTTTACAAGGAATAGAGCACAGTTTCTATTTATGTGCACACTGGGAGGGAAAATAACATAAAATATGAAATGCACATTAACCTTTGCACAGGCCACAATTTATGCATATTTTTGCAAAATGTTCAGCAGATAAACAGCAATTGTGAAACTGTGCTTTTTTTCTGTTCCAACTTATAAGATGCCAGATAAATAAAAATTTTGTGACAGTTGTGTATCGTGAAATTTTTGCCATATCCCCCACCCTTAATTTGTATGTTTAAAGACAAACTTGAATCATGATAATGCAAAAACAGAAGTCGCCCTGCATGCATTGAAAAGTACACACTGTGTAAAACATTCCACTGGAACAGCAACAACTAAATCCTATGAAGCTATAATGAATATAAAACTTGAGAACAGCTAACATATTTTTATTCATTTCATTCATTTAGCAATATGTACAAATTCAGTGGCTCTTATTTAAATGTTTGTATGTGTATTAGACTGTCCCAAGTATTTGAGCCCCCTCAGGCCTTGTGTTCTGAGGCCCACCGAGGCTCCTGGCAGTCAGAGGCCCCTGGGCACTGGCCCAAATGGCCTGGTCAGTAATCCATCTGTGGTGCTGTTGACAGATTTGGATGGTGGGCCATTCTTAGCACAGCAGTGACACCAGGGCTGAAGTGGGACTGGTTTTCAGACCAGGAGTTACATGATGCAGACCAGCCCACCTCAAATGCTCTCTCTCTCTCTCTCTCTCACACACACACACACACACAGCAAAGCCTTTGAACTTGTGATTGTGGTAGTCAATATGCTACAAACTAATGCTAGGTCAATAATTTAAGGTCAGCATTTCTTACTGCCTACCTGCTTAATAATCCTCATTAAAGGGGAACTCCACCAATTATTCAAATTTTCTGTATAATTAAATGGTTGAGATGTAAACAGGGTCATTCAGAGTGGTTTGGTGTGAAATGGTCTATTTTAGAGAAATGACGGTGTGATGGTGATCGGAACCAGACGTTTTCAGAAATTGGTGGAAGTTCCCTGTAAATAGTTTTCTCACTCTTGTCTTCTCGGTGTGACCTTGGTGTTTTTTGCTGTTCTTACAGCTGCTGTCTGTCTTTGCATGATCCACGTAAGAAAAGCTGCGGAAAAAGTCATGAACTCTGTAGAGCCGCCTGTTGGGTCAGATTCACAGCATCACGCTGAATGTCATACGCTAATCTCTCAAGGCTGATTTTAGCTTCAAATTTCCGTTCCACCTTAAGTAGTGTAGCTATTACACATTAGTGCCCGGACATGCGTCCGAATGTAATTGCCACGTCAGTTAAGGTGGAATGGGAAATATGAATGTGAAGCTAAGTACAGCTTCATCTAATCTCTATCCACTGTACAATGTTCTAAATTAATACAGACGTTCACTTGGAGTGTTATTGTGCTCATGTATTAGCTCACAGTAACCAGCCCAAAACCTGCCAGGTTTATTCTCCCGATTACCCACTCCAGCATTGAACGACACTGACATGGTTTTGGCAAGGTAGCATCAGTGTTGCTGCTAGGTTGAGAGAGGCCCACCACCAAAAAATATCCAGCCCACAGCAGCTCTGTGATCAGAAGAGGAAATCACTTGCAATCACATACAGTTTCTTAATAAATGGTTAGAATTCCTATCCCCCCTTTTTTTGTCATTACATCTTATGTCATTTAATCCACCAAATAACTTCAAATTTTGGCCCGATGCCTCATCCAGGTTCAAGGTGCACTTCAGTGCATGATATCACATCTGATGAGGGCCATCTTGTGGACATTGATTGTAATGCCTGTAGCAGCAACACCACAGAGGACATTCATTCATTTGTTTATTCATTCATTCTTCTGTTCATGCGTTCAGATTATCCACACAAGCTGTTTCTCTATTTACAGCATTTTGTAGCACCATGTTTCTCTATAATTCCTATGTCTGGATTTCCATTCTAATTCTCACAAGTCCAAGTTGAAACTGGGCTTAATAATGGCGAGTTAGCTTTCTGCATCCAAGGCACAACAGTTAAAGGATACTTTTAACCAAAATTTCTGCATAATTAAATCAAATCACGTTTATTGCCACATCACATTTACACAGGTGCGAAGGTGAGTGAAAATTTTAGGTGTGTAGCCCCCTTGTAGTACTTAAATATACGAAAAATATATAAGAAACGTATATATATATATATATATGTATATATATATATATATATATATGTATATATGTGTGTATATATATATATATATATATATATATATATATATATATATATATATATATATATATATATATATAACAGGCAAACCCCACACAGAAACGACCCTGGTCGCCCGGGTCCGGGTATATATATATATATATATATATATATATATATATATATATATATATATATATATATACACCCACATTAGATTAATATATACACATATACACAATACACACTAATAATATATGTGTTGTTGCACCATCCCAATATACAGTTTTTCTACTGTGATATAAGTTATAAAATAAGAGCTATGATATGTACAGTTGTACACTTTTCCATATATGCTATATGTGTGTCTGAGGTATAACTGGTTTAAAAGCTCCCTAACAGACAGTTATAGCCTGAAAAGGTTACAAATACTCTGATACCTGATGCCCATGACATTGTTTAAGATAAATGTGTGGCCTTCTAGCTACAGGCAGAAGCTGCCCAGAACTCCAGCTCATGTTCTGAGAGTCCTCCCCCTTCCCTCATACTGCCACCATGTTGAAGGCATGGTCTGAACTCACAGTTTTGAGATAACAGCATATGTTTCAAATGAATTCCTGGCAGGGAGATGCATGCAGGGTGTTGTAAGGCAACATAATCGCCAAAGAAAAGTTATTTTTTCAGATTTGCCTCTATTTAACCATCATCAACATTACATATAACGTTGATGTGTAGCAAATAAAATGGCTATATTTGTATTGTAGTCATGGCGACCCCTGGTTCCTATCACCACCACTGTAAAGAAATATCTACAATCAACCATTTCACATCAAACCTCTGAGTGACTTCACATCTCTTGATTGAACGATGCTGATGTTTTTTAAAATTTGGTGGATTTCCCCTTTAAACAGCTGTTTTAGAAATTGCTGATGCCCCCTTCTTTAGAGAGACCCTGTCCTTTTGGCAGAAGTGATGCATTCCCAAATGCATGCTGCACTCTGGCTGAACTGTTAGGCGTAGGACATTCAGCAGCACAGAGAGTGTTATGCAGTGCTACTTGCTCTCATTATGCATGTGATTAGCCTCAGGCCTCAGTTTGGATGTTAGCTGCATCAGTGCAGTGCCAGCTGAGTCTCCCACACTCTGATTTGCTGCAGGGCGTAAGCGTTTGTTCTTTTTGTGAAGGCTTTACAATGTCAACCTTAAATACATTAATATAATCACCTTGTGGTTGGCCTGTGAATACATTAGCGAGATGTGTCATAATTAAACAAGGACATGTAGTGTCACTGACGCAATGCACCACTTTAATGAAGCACAACTGACCTGGCATTAAACCTTTATGAGCTCGTTGGTCTTCCCATTCTAATATTACAGGTATAAATATGGATTTGCCCCCCTTTGCGGCTTTAAAGGCCTCTGTTTTCTAGTGAGGCTTTCCACAAGATTTTGGAGTATGTCTGTGGGAATTTAGGCCTTCATACACTATGGATACACGGTTCTTGTGCTGATGTTGCTTCCAGAAGCAGTTTGGAACTCTGTAGTGAGCGATGCAACAGAGGATGGGAGATTTTTACAGCACAGTTTGGATGATCTACTGCTTCGTATTTGAGCTGTTGTTCCTAAATGACTCCATTTCATGATTTTAGCACTTACAGTTGACCAGGGCGGTTCTAGCGGGGCAGAAATTTCATAAACTGACTTGTGCCAAAGGTGGCACCCTATGACAGTGCCACATTTAAAGACACTGAGCTCTTCAGTACGACTTATTCTGTTGCCACTGTGTGTCTATGGAGACTGCATGGCTATGTGCTTGATGTTATATACCTGTTAGCAATCCCATTTCTTATTTTTACCCCTACCCCTTGTTTTCAAGTGTCACCTTGCTCCTTGGAACTGAGTTAAAAGGGGTAGTGGTTGAAATCTTCCGCTATGAAATGGAACAGCCTTCAAATAAAAAGAGCATTACTTCATTAACAGCTACTAGCGCTGCTCTGTAGGCAACCCTGCCAGTCTGCAGTGA